TTACTTGAAAAAATTTAACTGATAAAATTTNAATATCGTATATGAAATATGAAAATTCCAAAAAAAAAACAAAAATCAAGGTATAAATTATGAGCTCTCCAATTTTTTAATTAGGTATTTCCAGCCTGATGGTAATCCTTCAGCATCCCTAGCATTAATGCATGTATCATGCAATCTGTCTTTTAATTGCATGTATCATGCAATACATCTCAATCTTTTCAGTGCTTATCGCCAACATAGGGGAATGCACTGGTTTAATAATATTTGCTTCATGCCATTTGACCACCGAGCCTTCAGCTTGTGCCATCTGCAACAGTATTGTGGCATTTCATCCTTTACTGACATTGTATTTATGCTCTCTCAACCTGACTCCCAAATTTCTATTAGTGATACCAATATAATTTTTCTTGATGTCTAGTTCTGTTTTTGTATGGGATCTTGTATACTCCTGCAATTTTTTTTTATCGATCTTGTCTTTGTCATTCCTTAATACTTGTATTTTATACAAATTGGGAGCTCTCTTGAAAATTAACATGGATTTTTTTTTCAGTCATAAATTTCCTTCACGATGGAATTTTTACTTCTATCATAAGTGCACTTTGTGATTTTAGAGAAATCTGTGCCTGGAACCTTTGCTTTGTTTATTTTGTAGCTTCTGATCAGTGCTGTTATCATATTCGCATTGTGTCCTAGCATTCTAGTGATCTGAGTTATCCTATTGATTTCTTTCTGCCTATCTATTATACTATTGCAATAGAGAAAGGCTCTTCTAATAAGGGCATGGAAGGCAGCCATTTTGTACTGGAATGGATCATTCAAGTGTGATGGAATGTACAATGGGCTTTGTGTCGGTTTTACATACACCTTAGTGACTAAATGCCCTTTCTTGAATACAATATCTATGTCTAAAAAATATATCCGTGAGGAACCTTTCTGTTCAATCTTTAACTTAAGGCTGTCATTGTTATTGTTGATCCTGCTAATAAAGTCATTGATTCTTCGGTCATTCTTCCACAATACAAAGACATCGTCTACATATCTTTTAAAATACACAACTTCAGTCTTGAAGTCACAAAGGATACTTCTTTCCAGTTTTCTCAAAACAAGCTCACATAATAGTCCTGACATGGGACTTCTTTTTTTTGTCTGTACTGATGGCCATTAAAGGTGAAAAAAGATTCATTACAAATTAGGCTAGCCAGTTCTACCAACTCATTATTGTAGCAAGCCAAATCTGGGTTAATGTTGTGCATGAAATCTAAAAATGCTATCATGCATGATTTGATTTTAATAGAGGAGTATAAGCTTTCATAGTTCATTACAGTTCCCACCTCATTGTCCATTAACATTAGATCTTGTATCTCTTTAACCACATCTCAGGGATCATGTGCCACATATACATTATTCTCGAGGTGAGAAATTTATGTAACTGCTTTTTAAGGATAAAAGTTGATCCCCTGCATTTTTTCACTATAGGCCTTACTTTGTTACTCTCTTTATGGGTTTTGGAAAAGGCAAATAATCTTGGCATTCTAGGTCTGGGATTTTGACAATTTTAGAGGAAAAGTAATGCATTAGTGAGCTTTGTTTTTTCAAGCTTCTTAACTCTTGTATTGATGCTTTTGATAATCTTTGTGTCAACACGTTCACATTATGTTTTTTTAATATAATCTTCCAATGCCTTATCATAGGTCTGCCTTTTCATGATAACCAATGTTTTGCTTTTGTCAGTCCTTGTTGTAACTAAATCATTTTTTCTCAGCCATCATTTAGTAAGTTTGATGTCTTTGTTTGCACACCTTTTTTTATTCCAACCCCTCTTGGTCTTTAATGACAGTGTCCATCTAAGGTATTCTTTTTCTAAAGAATCCAGTCCAATTATATCTCTTTCTATTTCCTTAATCGAGGTTTCCCAAGAGTTTGAATTTTCAGGAACAAAGTTCGGTCCATGTTTTAGGATCTCTTTGACATTTATCAGGATTTCTGATAAATGTCAAAGAGATTTATCAGAAATCCTAAAACATGGACCGAACTTTGTTCCTGAAAATTCAAACTCTTGGGAAAAAATATATTTACCTATCCCATATTTGGGCCCATAGTAAAAAAGTCATCATGAAGGAAATTTCTGACTGAAAAAATCCATGTTAATTTTCAAGAGAGCTCCCAATTTGTATAAAATACGAGTATTAAGGAATGACAAAGACAAGATCGATAAAAAAAAATTGCAGGAGTATACAAGATCCCATGCGAAAACAGAACTAGACATCAAGAAAAATTATATTGGTGTCACTAATAGAAATTTGAGAGTCAGGTTGAGAGAACATAAATATAATGTCAGTAAAGGATTGATTTGATCTGTTGCAGATGGTACAAGCTGAAAGCTCAGTGGTCAAATGGGATGAAGCAAATATTATTAAACCAGTGCATTCCCTGACATTGGCGATAAGCACTGAAAAGATTGAGATGTATAAAGGCAGATTGCATGATACATGTATTAATGCTAAGGATGCTGAAGGATTACCATCAGGCTGGAAATACCTAATTAAAAAATTGGAGAGCTCATAATTTATACCTTGATTTTTGTTTTTTTGGAATTTTCGTATTTCATATACGATATTATTANTACCAGTGAAATGTATGACATTTATCAATTCTATTATAATTTATCTCCATCTATATATGTTATAAGTTACATTTGTAGGTATTTACTATGTGCATAGTACATTACATATAAGTGGACAAATTAACATTGAAATTAAAATGTTTTACAATATTAATTTTTATAGTTTTCAATTTAAGATATCTATGTATGATTCCACAGCTCAAAAATATTTCTCAGAATAGCTAGACAATTTCTTACTAATCTATAATTGGCACCAAAAAAATCCTTTGACATATCTGGCAAGTACTCTTTGGCAATGTTGCAGAATTGGCATATTTAAAAAAAAAATGTGACATTTTTAGAGTTGAAACTTTCTATATATGTATTTAATTGACTTTGACAAAGAGAGTTGTAATTGTAAGCAAGTGCAAGCAGACATACATTATGAATAATTTAAGCTCATTGTTTTGATCACCATAAAGCCTATTGCTATTAACACAGCTTAACATTTGTTGGAGATTTTGATAATTTTAAAATTGCTGAAGTAATTTAAAGACTCAAATTGTTTTGTTTTTATGAAATTTTTTAAATATGATATTTCAGTAAAATTAATCTTGTTGGATATTTGAGAATCTATCGTGTATTTTGTTTATTCTAAATGAGATATAAAGTGCTATAATAATAATAACTCTCCCATGGTCACCATCTGGTTGTGGTGGGAGAGCCCAGTAATTTTACTGATCCATAGGGCAATGTAGGCTGGAGCACAAGCTCCTGGTAGTATCACCCATGCCAGTAAGGTCTATTGGAAGAAATGAAGCTAAGAGTGACCACTCCCACATTCTGTGTAGATATTTATCGTGTTAGTAACCAAATCAAAGTGTGATACTCAGATATCACATGAGTAACAAAGTCTGCATTCATGGGTTAGGCAGAGGCTCATGTTCAAAAAATAGGCAACAGTTTCCCTTGGTTACCAGTGGCGAAAGCAGCACTGACTCAACAATGGCTACTGCAAAGCCCTCAACAGATGTGAGAAACCAACTTAGCCTTGGTGTTTCTGTGGCAATGCATCCATAGACCACAAAGGCTGGAAAACCACACCAATGGATGAAATGGACAATAGAAATGAATGAGTTTATCATCTGTACTTACTACACCATCACAAGACTTGAAACAAACATGACAGCATTCGGACAACAACTACACCAAAGATTCACACAACAATATCCTCACCTCACTGTCACCGAACAAAGGGTTGTTGATTAAAAAAGAACAATTATACACAACCACCTTATCCCACAAACAACACTTGAACTTATCAAACAACAGGTTGCTGATCAAATACATCAACAGACAGAAACATTTAACATTAATGAAGATCACGTAAAAATTAAAATGTAACCTGTTTACATTTTAATTGTGATAGTAATTGTTTTTTTTCTTTAAAATAAGTCTTCAAAACATAAACAATTACTTCCTATATTGTTTTTGAACAGGAATTTTGAATGAAGATGCTATATTTTTAATTTGTAATTGCAAATTTTGAATGTAAACTTTTGAAATAATTAATGGTTTATATAAAATTGTTAAGATCCAAGAAAATAACATGTAACTTTTTTCATTCAGTAGAAGAACTTAGAAATAATTATGCATATATTTAATAGTTATGGAAAAATTCTTGTACTCTCAAATGTAAAGAAAGATTACTTGCACTGTAGAATTTAATATACAATATTTAGACTTATGAGAAAAATTTTATAAACTTTAATTGAGGTAGAGCATTAGTGAAGCCTCTTCTATGTTGCTTACAGAATTGAGCTTATTCTCAAAATTTAATTGGTTGATTTTGATGAAACTTTGTTAATTATGATTAGGAATCCAAATATGTAATGAAGGTCCATTTAAATGTAAAAAATATGAATCCGTGACTTCGTTTTCAATGTACAGAGGTATTAAAGTAACAATGTCTGCTGTCTCTGATTTGACTGAGTGTGCCTAATGAGATTTAGGCCTAGTGGTCAAAAATAAAAATATTGTTGTGTGCACCTAATGAAAAATAGGTGTGAGAAACGAACAAAACAGAAGAACAAAGCAATCAATGGTGATTGCTTTGTTCTCAGATCACCTCTTTATGTTGGCAAATGCAAGAGTCATCTCTTTGTTCCTGGCCAACAGGTAAAAGGATTGTCTGTCTTGTGGCTGGCAGGTTCATAGCTTCTGTTGAGATGGCAAGTGCAAAGTTCATCTGTCTACATTTGTCAGGATTGCCTCATCTGTGCCTAGTAGGTGCAGGGATTGCTTCTTTCTTTCTGGCTCTATCTCAATTCTGTTGTGACACCACAAAGTTGCACAATATTCTAGTAATATTTACATAATAATTAGGTTTTTTGGTTGTTTACATTTTATTTTTACTTAAAATATTTAATTTTGTTTTACAGGATATGACATTTAAATTGGAATATAATGACAGAATAGGATATTTCAATTGGGATGGCAGAACTTATTCAAAGGATGAAAATGAAATTGAAATAAATGATCGCTATGCCAAGGAAATCGGATTTAATGAATATCCTGTAACTATCACTTTACTACTAATTATTAGTTGTTAATCAACCATTAGTTATTTTTGTATTTTTTTAATCAGTAAATACATTACTTTTAAAATGAATATATTGGAATAAGAAGCAAGTAGTTCAAGACACAACACCTTATGTTGCTGAGAAATTTAATAAAAATGCAACAAATGTTTTCAGCCAAATTTATTCGCCATTGTCAGGTAAAACAAATTCGAATATAAATAAATGGAACAAAATTTTAAATACAAATAATTAAGGAAGAAAATAAGCATATACAGTAAGACCCTGCTTAAATGCGGGGGATGCATTCCTAGATGACAAGCGCTAAGCGAAACAGTGTTAAACGAGGTCATTTTAACATAGAGTAAATAGAGATAGGGGAACACGTGACTGAAAATAAAAAAATTTTACTTTAATTTTAAGTTATTTTTATATTAATTTGTATAATAATATATGTTAAATAACGTACAAAAATATGCACACAGAAATGTATAATAATATATTCATTAGTCCATTTTTTCTGTATTAATAGTTCATTTTTTGTGACGAAGGTCCTGACTTTTCTGAAATTCTTGGTTTTTTTGCAATAAAGTTGTGATGTTTCATTTGTCACTTTTTCTTTCCTTAAGCAAATCCCGGTAGCAAAAGATTACGTCCAAAATGCCTTGTTTTGCTTTTGCACTCCTTTCAAAATCTGGATCATTTGCTACAATTTCATCAATGATTTCAGTTATCATTACCAAACTTTTACTAAGGAAATCTGTAGAGAAATTGTTTGGGTTCTTCGTTTTCAGAATCTCTATTTTCCAGTTCTACATGGATTCCTTGTTCTCCCAGTTCTTGAAGGTCGTTGTTGATAAGACTCTCACCAGAAACCTGTGGTGACTCCTCAATATCCTGTTTATCTACATTTCCTAGTCCTGCTGTATCGATTAGGTTGAGGTTGGTCAACCTAATGATACAGCGATAGGCTCTTCTCATTGAGAATTCTTGGATACCTTCAGTCATAACTTCTTCCACACTTTGTTTTTTGCATTTATCAGTTAATTCTTGCCAAGCGAAGCTGATATTGCCTATGGCATCCATTATGTCATNGCTGGGTTAGTTTATTTGAAGTAAGTACTGTTTGTGCTTAGTATTTTGAAAGGATCTTGTACTTCAAATTGCTTAAAACATAAGAATTAAGTCCAATATTAAATATAATACATGTAGAAATTTTTAAAAATATTTAGTATGACTTAATTTGAAAAATAATATATGTTCAAGCAAATTCTATTTACATATTAAGAAATTTACTTTTCTAATGATCTTAACATCTACATTTTTCTGATTTGGAGACAAAACACAAATATCTTTCTTAATTCTAACAACAAGGAAGTGTTAGCATTATAAAGGTGAAAATGTTTTTTGAAATAATTTTTTATTAAAAATTTGTAATGCAGTTTACATTAAATTGGACTTGATTAGTTTTATGAAATAATTTTTGATTGATTTTATTAATAAACATTTCATCACGCTTATAAACCTGGAAATAACTTAAAGACAAGTAAAACAGTAAGGTAATATTTGGGACAAGACTATGTCTCGGAGACTCACTACTAAGCGAGATCACTTCGACACTGATGGTGGATCTTGTTCTTATTCTCCAATCTTCTTTGGTATCGCTGGTTTTGAGTGCAATTGTTCAAACTTTGCTGGTCTTGGCCATGGCTACAAGGTTGTCCACGATGCATTTTCGGTGAAATTAACCTATCCAATATCAAAATTTTTCTTCATTGCATGTTGCCTTGGGTTGAATTTTTGTCGATGCCTAATAAAAATTTCCCGTTTTTGAAAAAAATAATTGTGACTATTGTATCGTCCGAATTTATTTTTTTATTTTGCACAAACAAAATAAATATATTAATAAATGTAAAAAGAAAAAAAAAATTATATTTCAGAAGTTAGTTTTTATAATATAAAATTATAATGACTCGCACCATCTAGTTTCAAAAACATTCCAATGCTGAAACGAGATATCTTGGGTCAACCGGTCAAGGTCAGCATGTCACGACCAGAGATATTCGGGAATAACATGGGACATGCAAATGGGTTTTTTCAAAGATTCGTTTGTCAGAATTCAATTTCACAACATTTGCATTTCCAGCTTCCCAATGAGCAATACGTGCGCAAATCTCACACTAGTGCCTGTTTGTAGAAAGAATGTTGCAATTTTGTATTTTTTTTTTACTTGGTTCTCGGTCCCCTGAATAACTACAAGTCTGGTTTTTTTATCTGCGCATGATTTGGGCACCTAATACTCTGTGCCAAGTTGCAACTCCTGACATGTACAGTACTCCTTCATACCTCTAAGGTATGTATGTACCCGTTGATGGCAGCGCAATTTTATAAACAAGACACAGTCTTCTCAATAATATATTTATCCTGAAAAAGAACTAGAATTTGTATATACAAATGTATTTTGATATGAATGAAAACTAAGCTTGCATTCTTTGGATTTATGTCAGAATATTAAATCAGTATTCACTAAAATATTTTCATTATTTTACTTGTGAGATTTTATCTTATTTTAATTTATGATATGCAATGTTAAGCATAAGTATGAATGAAATACAGTGTCTATCTTTTAATTTGTAAAATTGCATTATTCATTACATTTTTAAGCTCTCTTAGATTGTTATAGAATCTAACTCTTGGTTTAATATAATAAATAACTTATTTCTTTTGTACACAATATTATATCATTTTTTATTATATCATTTTTTAGTGTCTAAAAAATAATCCTCTTTGTTATAAGAAAGTATTATCTTTAATTGAAACTGAATTAGTTGCAACATATAAAGTTGGGTGAAACTGGATTCCTTTTTTGAATAATATAGAGTGAAAAATATTTTTTTACTAAATTACTACACTAACTTATAGCAGTAATAAAAAAATTTTTATTCCAAACCAGAAAAAATCTAGCAACAAGTTACTTAACTTTCCTGGCAACATTTAAAAATGTGTGTAGTGCCATCTGTTATGATATTTTATTAAATACTTTTTATATAATTAATTATTATAAAATGGCAAAAAGCTTAATTTTGAGGGTAGAGATGAATTTTATAAAAAGTTGTAAATGTTAATAATGAGGAAAATCTTCATTAAGTCTAATCTTATTCGAAATATGAGACATGACCACCTTATATCTCTCCATCCCTCAACTTTTAACCACCAAAATTTAATAGCAATGATGCCTCTAATACATACACCTCCTTACAAAATTTCAGAAATTTTTGACAATAAGAATGGGAGTTATTAAACTTTAAAGTGAGTGACCAAAATCATGCCACCCTCACACACACTTTCACAACCATCCATACATATATACATACAGAAAAAACTCTCAAATTTTTTTTTGCATTTGTTGACATTTCAAGATCTTTCCAGTTCAAAATTGTAAAAATTTTGCTGGGTCATTTTTTGACCAATTGCTATACTTTCCCTCTGTTATATATAGAGCTGGGAAAGTAACAAAAATGTGAATCATATTGCAGAGATCAGAGAATCTATAATAAAAACTATTTGATTGTCACTAAAAAAATGTATATTCTTTTATCTTGATAACATGATAGTCAGGTGAGCACTTATGAAAAGATAAAATTATTGTAATATTATTTGTATTTTCTCGTGACATGAATGATAACATGAATTTTGATAAAGTTCATAAAAGATATAAAAGCATTATTGTATGTTTGATAATCTATAATAATAAATTGAAAACTATAAATATTATAAAAAAATAAAACAAGAGAAGAAGATATTTGAAAATATCAAAATATTGTCAAATTTTTTCTATTTGCACCTTTTTCTTCTCTTATTAATAACTAGCAGGTAAGCCCGGCGTTGCTCGTGCAAAAGTAACGATAACTAAGATAAAGATTATTACGTTACAGTCAACCTTACCCGTTTTCACAGAATGCAAGAATTGGTTCCCCTTGTTTCCAGACTAATTAGAGAATTTTTAGATGGGTCTAAAAATATGTTTGATTTCCCGCAAAAACGAAAAAACTGCATCTGAGTATTGCACGTCGCTTTCTCTGAACAATTCCATTGTTACGTAACATTTCCATTGTTGACACTTCCATTGTTACTTAAAACTTTCATTATTACTTAACACTTCCATTGTTACTTAGCACTTCCATTGTTACTTAACACNCTTAGTGTGCGTTTTCGTGACGTACCCTAACTGTGTACCAAATTTCAACTTTCAACTCCTAACCGTTTGGGCTCTGCGCTGATTATTATTATTATTATCAACCCGTCTCAATTATATATTAGATGTTGTTCAATAATTGAATCTTTTTATCATTTAAGTAAAAATTATTTTGTAAAGTTACTTAATTTGTTTAACAATATTTGTCTCTTCAACAGCAAATTATCAAGAATTCACTACAATTTATTAAATGACTTTTTAACTAACAAATAATATCAAAATTAACACATTTAAATCTTTTCAATCTCTCTTACTATTTTAAATATACTGCTACACTGTTTCAAAATCTTAAAGTTTTATCTGTTATCTCTGGTAAACGTTTAGACTTTAGTGAATTTATTAAAAAAGATATTAAAAAGCATAAATAAAAAACTTAAAAACAATACACAAGGAGTATAGATAAGACTTATGTAGTTTCAAAATTGTTCAAGTCACTTTTTCCAGTTTGAAACAGAGATTGAAACATTCTTTTTGCTGATTTTGAAACTGTGTGCTTCATATATATTTTAAAAATTCAAAAATACTATTTAGAAAAATATAGATCATATGTTCTAATGCAGTGGTTCCAAAACTTCAACTTATATTTGATCTATATTTGAAACATAAAAGATCACAAACTCTTTTATAAAAGATATATTTTGACAGACCATTATTTTTGGCTGTAAGCCTTTATCATTAATTAATAAACAACAACAATAAGCATCTGATGCATCTTATATTGTTTTTAGATGATTTTTAGTTGTGTTAATTTAAAAAATTTTGTTAAAATAATAGGATAAATTATAAAACTTAATAAAAAGAACCAGCTATTTTTTATTTTCCAAAAGTTATTAAAATATAACATTTTAATATACAAAATTTATTACATTTAATTTAATGCTTAATATAGCTTTAACTAGTATTTTAAAATATTAGTTAAAGTAATAAAATAAAAGCATTTTTAGAAAATGGGACTGTGGACCCCTGACAAGAATCTTGCAAATCTCTGGAGGAATAGGGACCATGGTTCCAGAATCATTTATCTAATGCAATGATACTAATTTTTTAAAATTTATATTATCTCTTAATTGAAAATAATGAGTTAATGTGTTGGATTATTAGATGCTTTATAATTCTCTCATATTTTGAAATGCTTGCTTTTATGACAATCCAAAAACTTTTGAAATAATCATAAATTATTATTAGAAAATAAATATTTTTATTTATTAATAAAGAAATGTATAATTTCTTTTCAGGTTAGTGTTAACTGTATTAAAAATGTATCATCATGTGAAGAAGCATTTTTGGTTACTTCTCCTAAGGATTTGGAAATTATAGTAAGTAAGATAATATTTTAATTGCTTTAAAGTTTTGACATGATCAATAATGCAGTCACTATTGTCAAATTACTTTGTTTAAAAATGTACTTATAAACAACTTATTAACACATCGGCTGCCAAATAATAGTTAAATTATAGTTGGTTTTTTTTTTACCAGACAATACCTACAAGTTGCCTTGTAAAATATAAAATTGCTTTTATGGTGCCAGAAATTAGAGAGATGTAAATGATAAATAGTTAGTACCTGAAATAAGTCTGAAAATAAATTATGGTGTCAAAGAATAGAATATTTAATCACAGAAAAAATAATACAAAATAATTGAAAGTGTTATTAAAACCTATAAAAATAATGTGTTTATGATAATATTTTGTTGAAATCTTTCTCTATACAAAGACCTGGTTTCATTTGGCACATTGAAAAAATGTGTTTTGTTTTTTTTTTTTAAATCTTTTGTGCATACTTATCAGGCTTGAGTAGGCAGTTTTTTCAGTAGACAGTAGTTCCTAAATAATGAAACTTATTATCACTCTTTATCTCTTCATTGTTTTGACAGTTTGTCTCTAATCAAATATCTAGTGATTTTTTTTGGTGATACATGTGATATGGTTGTGCATGGGGCATTAGGCATCATATGATATTCTTTGACAGAGCTGTAGTGATGTTATAACTGCTGCTCCATATCTCACACTAGTAGTCAATGACATGAATAAAACCATAACTGCTGAACCTCTAATCAGAGAAAAGGGAATAACTCCATTATATAGCGAAATAACAAAATGGAACGAAAGAGAGATTAGAACGGCGAACAAATTAGAACCACTGAGTTACATGGCTTGGGTATATAGTGTCAAAACTGATAGTACATTGGAACAAATGAGAGAGTTATTAATAAAGAGAATTCAACTAAGAAATTTAGGAATAGGAGTTAGAAAATTAAGAATGATCAAAGATGAAGGAGTAGCAGCAAACATGTGTAGTTATGCAAACTTAGTGACATTCTTACAAGTGGTGGAAAAGANAAAGAAATGTATAATTTCTTTTCAGGTTAGTGTTAACTGTATTAAAAATGTATCATCATGTGAAGAAGCATTTTTGGTTACTTCTCCTAAGGATTTGGAAATTATAGTAAGTAAGATAATATTTTAATTGCTTTAAAGTTTTGACATGATCAATAATGCAGTCACTATTGTCAAATTACTTTGTTTAAAAATGTACTTATAAACAACTTATTAACACATCGGCTGCCAAATAATAGTTAAATTATAGTTGGTTTTTTTTTTTACCAGACAATACCTACAAGTTGCCTTGTAAAATATAAAATTGCTTTTATGGTGCCAGAAATTAGAGAGATGTAAATGATAAATAGTTAGTACCTGAAATAAGTCTGAAAATAAATTATGGTGTCAAAGAATAGAATATTTAATCACAGAAAAAATAATACAAAATAATTGAAAGTGTTATTAAAACCTATAAAAATAATGTGTTTATGATAATATTTTGTTGAAATCTTTCTCTATACAAAGACCTGGTTTCATTTGGCACATTGAAAAAATGTGTTTTGTTTTTTTTTTTTAAATCTTTTGTGCATACTTATCAGGCTTGAGTAGGCAGTTTTTTCAGTAGACAGTAGTTCCTAAATAATGAAACTTATTATCACTCTTTATCTCTTCATTGTTTTGACAGTTTGTCTCTAATCAAATATCTAGTGATTTTTTTTGGTGATACATGTGATATGGTTGTGCATGGGGCATTAGGCATCATATGATATTCTTTGACAGAGCTGTAGTGATGTTATAACTGCTGCTCCATATCTCACACTAGTAGTCAATGACATGAATAAAACCATAACTGCTGAACCTCTAATCAGAGAAAAGGGAATAACTCCATTATATAGCGAAATAACAAAATGGAACGAAAGAGAGATTAGAACGGCGAACAAATTAGAACCACTGAGTTACATGGCTTGGGTGTATAGTGTCAAAACTGATAGTACATTGGAACAAATGAGAGAGTTATTAATAAAGAGAATTCAACTAAGAAATTTAGGAATAGGAGTTAGAAAATTAAGAATGATCAAAGATGAAGGAGTAGCAGCAAACATGTGTAGTTATGCAAACTTAGTGACATTCTTACAAGTGGTGGAAAAGATCTCTGAGTTAAAAGCAACAAGAGCAAAAAGAAAACTGCCTTTGATGAAAATAGCATCAGTACCAAAATCAGTCGAAAAAGAAAAAATTGCAGACTTCATTTACGAACAAAATGATGAAAAAAGATTTCTCTGAGGGTTTCCAAATAAAGTTTCCAATAAAGCAGAGGAATATAGATTATCAGATATGGGTGTTTGAGGCTACACCATAGATTGTAGAGGCAATTAAAATAGAACGAAAACTCAATATACAGTGGACAAGGTGCCCAGTCTATGAATTTTCTCAAGTTAAACAATGCTGCAGGTGTTTAGATTACGGCCATTTTGCGAAAGAATGCAACCTAAAAAACTGCATCTGCACTCACTGCAGAGAGGACCATCTTTATAAGGACTGTGAGAAGAAAGAGAAAACTGCAAAGTGTATTAATTGTGTCTGCAGAAAGCTCAATAATCATCAACACAACTCTATGGACAGAGGCTGTCCGATTACCAAAGACAAAAAGAAGAAATCCAAAAAAGGACTGGATATAATTTCTAGTAGCAATGACTTTTAATTACTGGGTGCAAACTTCAGCGCCAACTTATTTGTATTCGGCCCAAATTAGGAGCCGTCTCTGTATGTGCATTCATATTTTGTACTTTATTGTATATATTGTATGTTTTGGTTTTTTCAATAAAATACTGATGCAGATGCTCATGGGACTTCCCTCTTCATCCTCTTTTCTATCTTGCTTTACTTTTCACCTTCGCCTCTCCTCTTAAATCCCTTTTTCTTACCCTCTTCACACTTGGGCAATACAATGAAGTAGTCTCGCGTCTTCATCCCCTGTAATGTAGGATGTATATTCCTTCAGGTGTTTGTCAGGTGGATTATGTACCTTTTTCTCCAAAAAACAGGTGGGTAACCTGACTTTGTCCACTATAGGTCTCATTAGAGTATCTAGTTTGTGCATTTTTGCAAATACAAAAAGCCTGGATAGTGTATCTGAAGATTTTAACAACCACTCTCAAAATGTAATTTTTTAGCCAACAAAGTAATGGTTTTTGCAAGTTGTCAATGTATTCCTCTTTAATTTGTCACATTTGGTGATGTCTATGTTCTCATTCAGTCTTGCTCTGTGTGTAGATTTTTACTTTCCTAGCTGTTATATAACAGGGGGAAAGTATGGCATTGGAAAAAATAATCCTCCCAAGATTTTTACAGTTTTGGATTCTGGGGACTGTGAAATGTTGAAAAATGCAAACAAATTTGGGTTTATTTTCTGTATGTATGAATGTTTGTGTGGGGGCACAATTTTCTTCATCCTTTTTGAAGCTTAATAATTCCTTTTGTTGAAAATTTCAGAAATTTTGCAGGGAGATTTGTATATTAGGGAATTGATACTATAAAATTTCGGTGGTTAAAGATCAAGGGGTGGGAGCTAAAGGGGATCATGTATTGTATCTGAAGTGGGATTTTGACTTAACGAAGATTTTTTCATCATCATTTACAACTTTTTATAAAACTAATCTCCACTCTCAAAATTAAACTTTTTTCCATTTTATAATTAATAATATAATATAATTAAAAAAGTTTTTTATAATAAAATATCATAACAGATAGCACCACACACAATTTTAAATACTTTTGCCAGGAAGTTATGCAACTTGTTGCTGAATTTTTTCATTGGGTCTTGAATCAATTTTCATTGATTCATTTTTCCCATATGAGCTTCAATGTGTCTTGAATCAATTTTCGTTGATTCAAGACCCAATGAGTTATCCTTTTTCCCATATGAGCTTCAATGTGTCTTGAATCAAGGGAAAAAGGATAACTCATGGGCATTAAAATTAATATACTTATGGAATTTAATTTTATATTTCAATGGTCAGATATATATATATATATATTCCAAGCTGTATATTGTAGCTTGTTACTAAATTTTATTTGGCTGCAATTTGAAAAAATTGTATACCCAATAAAATCCCACTGTCATCTGTCCTTAATCTTGAGAACAGAATTAGATACATGAAAGTTAAGACCAGATATAGAAAACTTTAGGACAAGGAGACCCCAATTAATTATACACATACTTCCAATGCAAACTAGAAGTCACATTATTTTAATTCAAAAACTTTCTTTCAAAAGGAGTTAGATAGATAACTAGCACAACTCCATTGCTAACAGAAAAGTATGATGTACAGAGGCAAGACATTTCAGTACTAATTTGAGGTGGAGAGCATATATATTAAACTAAATAATTTAAAAATATCATGAAAAATTGCAGCCTGACATTTTGACGATGTCACAATAAATAATTGCTTGTTTTCCTGTTGTATTTTTGTTTTGAAGGAATATATGACTTTTTCAAAATGGGAGGTTTTGAAAAATTTCCATGTGATGTTTTTTGGGGAGTTGACCCAATAAAATCCCACCAATAAATAAATAAATAAAGAACCACCAATGGGAGGGGGGTTTAAAATTTAACTAAAATAGGACACATGGTATAGGAATGAACCCATATAAAATTCAATTTACTAATAGTTAGAGGAATCATTTTATTGATATAAGCTGCCTGTGATGATGATAGTATGAAAATAACAAAATAGCACTTTAAAATTGATGTAGTTGACCTATATCATTAATTGAAGATGATATTTATAATGCTTATTATAGATAGTAAGTAATTTATTAAAATATTAATTAAAAACAGAATTAAAACCATGGATTTATGTTTTATCAAAACTAGAGCTAAATTAAAACTAGAAATTTCTTTTAACTTTTATTTGTATTGTTTTTATTTAAACTTATAAAACATTTTATTTCATTGACATCTTATCATATATGTAAATTATAACATGTAATATGACAAAAAGTAAAAATAAACAATTAATGATATAAAAGCCATTATTCATGTCTGTGTGTATGTGTATGTCCTTATAACTCCTGCAATTTTTGTCTGGTCCAGATGAACTTTTAGTTATATACATTTTATGTTCTAACGGAAAGTATAGGTTACTTATTTTGCTAAAATATTAGTTATAGAATAAACATTTTATCGATTTTGGTTAGGCGATGACATTATGTTGCAGTGACATCAGTGACCTCATTTAGTTCATGCTTGACGACAGAATTTCCCTTAAGTTGCAGTTTTAAATATTTTGGCAAAGGTCATATTTTAAACTTACTTCATTAAATTTAAACTTTAAAAAAAAGATAGCTGCATCATGTCACTTCTATAACAAACTTCTTAAAAAACATTTCTATAGTGACCATGTAAATTTTATTATTGAATTGGAAGTAATGTCTAACAAACTTGTTAGTTTCAATCTCTACTTTTTCATAAAAAGTATTCCATCATACTTGAGGGGGGAATTTCTAGTTTTTATAATAAATTTATAGCTTTAATTTTTATGAATTTAAGTTCAGAATATGTAAAAAAAAACAAAAATCAAATGTAATTTCATAAAAATGTTGTATGCTTTTAAAATTACTATCGTATAATAAGTTATATTTTGTTTGTAGAAAATATATAAATTTGGTAAGAAGAACAAATTTTGATTTTTGCAATTAGAGTATTGTTTTAAAAGTTACAGCACCAAAAATTTTATTTATTGTTATTTAATATTATATATTATTTTCTTAAACTGAACATGTTTTTAAGTTAAAGAAAATCTAAGAATGGAAATAAATTTTAATATTTGTATTTTATAGGAATTAAATAATACTTATCTTGAAGACAACATTATGAATCAAATTAAAATTATATGGAAGGATCAGGTTTTTCCAATTTGGATAAACAAATATTTGATATTTGTAAAAGTTAGTAAGTATTAGTTTTTTATTTACTAACACTTCTACGGTAATAATATCCAATTATTATTATTTTTACATCAGAGAAATATATTAAATTTATTTTAAAAATTTTAAAAGGAAAGTAAAAACCCTGTAGTTATACATGAATTTATTTTTGATTCCAGAAAAGCTGGTTCCTTGTCTCTAGATTAGTGTAGAGACTCAAAGTCTAGTGTCACTAACGTTTGGATTTTGAATCGCTTCATTCATCTCTATACTTTTGATTTTATTAATAAAATCCACCAAATCTTTCACTTCAAATTTATATTTTCCAAGCGTGCTTTTTTTTTTTTTCTTTCTTTTTAAAGAAATCTGCCAAAGATAGGAATTGGCTTTTCTTTACTAAGGATTTTTTTTGGAAAGACAGAAAGAGTATGCAGTTATGTATTTTACAAATTTGTCAGAATTTGCTGTACTTAGTTATTCATATTGCATATTTTGAGTTTAATAACAGATTTTACAAACAGAATAGAGCAGTACCCATTGGGTCTCTAATAATGGGACCAGTGGCCAAAATTATAGTAAATGATAGTTGAGGAAAAAATTTTTGAGAAGGTTAGAAGTAGGATTAAGTTTATGGAAAGGTACATAGACATGTACCTTACCATGAACTTAATTCCACTTCTGATTTGAAAAGGGGAAAAATTTGGAGGAATTTATTAGGATGCTTTCAGTAGAGTTTAGAATATGTGTTAACAACAGAAATTGAAGAAAAGGATACATTTTCTTAATGTATCGTATAAAAAGTTAGTAGCAGTGTCCAAACTTGGGTATACAGGAAAGAGATCTTTAAACTTATATATGTGCTTATGAATTTGAAAGAGTTGTTATTAAAGTATAAAAAAGTCATTTACTACACTGGTAAATAGAGCATTTAATATAATGACAGACAAAAGAAATAACAAGATAGATGAAATGTGAAATAGCCAGAAGACTGAAATTAATATGATTTTATTTAGGAAGATTTCAGGAGAATATGATAGAAGAATTGAGGAGAATAAATTTGGAAAAAGAGAAGATAATAGTGGAAGAATGATGATGCATTTTATAAATAGGATAAGTGATTTGGAAGAGCAGATAGAAAAAGAGACAGTTAAATTGTTGACAATGTTGTATTTGAAAGAAATAGGTTGATTTTAAAGTCTGGCAGAATGAAGAAAAGAAAGAAGATAGTGAAAAGATGAAATTATATAGTGTGCCTTTAAATGAAGAGAAGTTATGAAAATTCTCATGAAAAGATTGAAAAAGCATAAAAAAGGAACAAGTAACATTACAATGATGCTTGTGCAGGAAGAATATAAGAAACATATGTGTTATGTGGGAGGAGGCAAAGGTTATAGAAGAGTTAAGAGAGGGAGAAAATGCCAAATGGTTATTATGAAAGCATTCATTTATTTTAACTTTTTCCAACTTGTGGCTACTGAGAGGGCCATTTTTCTAACTTTTTCCATCTTGTGGCTACTGAGAGGGCCATTTTTCAAGTCCATCATAGGTTTGACCAGACCCACAATGGGTTTGCTGGATAGAGAGTGACAGGGACCAGCATAATCCAGGACAGTTCTGGGGTTTTACAACCCACTAGGTTTGATCCCATGTCTCAAGATTAGTAGGCTGATGTCTTGACTGCCTTGGCAATCTGGCTAGCAATGAAGATTTAAAATAAACTATTATTAATAACTGATAGTTTACCAATTGCATGGAAATGGTTGTTTGGGAGATAAAAAGGAAAAATTACAGGTGTAAGAGGTGGGGTTGGAAGAGGAGGGAAATAAGAAATAAAAATGACTTCTGGACTACAGCTGGGATTTATTTAATCTTTTTAGGAAAGGCTTAGAAGGGAAAAAGAACAGTTTTTCTGTGTTAGAAGATTAGTTTGTTTTTGAGCTGCAATTTGAAAAAATCTCAGACATAAATTCCCACTGTTGTCTATCTGTTGTCTTTCCTTAATCTTGAGAATAGAGTTAGATGGATGAAATCCAAGATCAGATATCGAAACCTTAGGGACAGGAGGCTCCGATTAACTATTGCAAACATTTGACACAAACTGGAAGTCATGTTATTTCAATTCAAAACTTTTCCCTTGAAAGCAGTTAATAGATGACCAGCATGACTCTATTGTTAAAGGAAAAGTATGATGTATAGGGACAAGAGACTACTAATAATTTGAGGTGGAGAGTATGTATTTTAAATTAAATAAATTTAAAATAGGATTAAAAATTGCAACCTGGCATTGTGACGATGTCACAATAAATAATTGCTCATTATGTTTTAGTATCCCTGAAAATGGATTGTAAGAACTCAAAATTACTAAGATAATAAAGATATAAACTTTAGAAAAAAGTAGTTTTTTTGGGCTGTTATTTATAATTGTAAAAAATGATTATTATATTAATTTGTATTAAGACTGAGAATTGGTTTTTGGGCGAATATACATTTCAATTTTATTTTCTGTTATGATATATACAAAATTTATTTCATAGTTTCAAGTTAGATTTTTATTGAAAAAATCTGACTTGAAACTGAAATAATTTTGTAATAGTTTTTTTCTTTTAATATTTTATAAGTGATTTTTAAACTGGTATGGATATAATTTGTGTTTGGAAAATAATTTTATATATAATATGTGGCATAGAAACTTATTGTACTAAGATTTATAGTTGTAAATTATAATTATGAGTTTATTATAAATTTATCATCTACAGTTCAAGTAATAGTACTTGCTAATTAGGAGATAATGTATAGAAGTGTCTTTAAAAGTGAATCAAATTCAGTTTATACACACTGATGTAAATGCTGTGATTATACTTTTTGTATGGTCAAAATATTATATCAGTGTAACAAAATAATAGAAATGATGAAATTATTTTCATTAAAATAAAATTTTATTACATTAAAATATTAGTGTACATTATTTGTATTAAAAATAATTTAACACAAATGTAAATTAAATTTTATTTTGTGTTTTATTCATACACTAAATACATATGATTTTCTATAATGTTTTGCAAATGATAAATTTGAAATCCCCATTGATGATATTTTAAGAAAAAACAAGCAACAATACTGTTTGAAATTTAGATCATGTTTAATAAATTGCATCTGTAGTCACCACAAAAAGTAGTCAATACAGTAGTACCTCAGGATACAAAATTAATCTGTTTCAAAACTGAGATCATATCATGAAAATGTCGTAATGTGAATCATTTTTTCCCATACGATTACATGTAAAACCAAATAATCCATTCCAACATGAAAAACACACTCAAGTTAAAGCTAAGCAGTACATTGAAAAAAATAACTTTAGTAAGGAAAACACTGAAAAATGCATTTTGTAGTTGTAAATATTTAAATAATCATAATAATTGATAAAAAAATGTAGTTTTATTTGCACTTTACCTTTGAGGATAGATGACGGTAGAGGTATAAACTGGTGGTGGAGGAGAGGGAGAAGGGAAATGATACTAAAACTTAACTTACATAACATAATGTAACAATAACTTACCACTGATTTTTTTTATCTTTTCTGTTTTATTTTTTTTATTTTTATTCACTGCTTTTTGCTTTCTTTCCTTCACTTCTACCAGCACTTTCACTGGATAGAGGTTACTTGGTAAAATATCTATCCAAAGAAGTTTGGCTTTGCCTACTTTTTAAAATGTTTCTAAAATGAATTAGGCAAATGTCATTAAACTGAGCAGCAATACGGCCAGTGTGAACCTTTTTGGGATGTTTCTTTTCAGTAAAATCAGTCACTTTTTGACAATACCTCAAGATTTCCTTTATCGAGCAAGATCCTTCCACAATGAAGCAAACACGCGGACTAAGACCAAGAAACAGAAGGAACACGTGATCATGGCAGTGGTGCTGCGAACTAATGTAACGTTGTAGAGTGAGTGTTTGTTCGTACTGTGGAGCAAAAATATGTTCGAATTTCATGTCATATCCTGAAAATTTCATATGCTGAAGCATTCGTATCCTGAGGTACTACTGTATTATAAATCAAAAATTATAACTCACACTTTTTAGGACTTGTAATTTTTAGGAGGCTTACGAATTATCACGAAAATGTTTTGAAGCTTTTTTTTGTTTAATCTGCAGATTTAAACTATTGATGAAATGGTGGAATTAATACACATATCAGTTTTTAGCTTAAGTAAAAGATGTGGCAGCCAATTGCTTTGGGGACTCAGGATCAAATCCAGACTAGTCAATGAACTCCACAATTTTTTGGAGAATTGTCCATCTAGATATGTTGGGCTCAATCTCAACACCCAACTATCCTTTGTGACCTCTTGATGTCCACAGGGTGGAAAGAGTTATATATATATATATATATATTTTTTTTTTTTTAATTTTATGCCATCAGATCAGACAGTGTTGTTGTTTTTACAAATTTCATTTACATTGATTCTGAGGATAGATGTTTAATACATTACAGTATGTTAAGATGGCACTTTTGTTTAAAGATACATCTAAAGTGATGAAACATGAAAAAATTTTGTTATAATTAATATTTTACTATTCTAGTATTAAGATATCTCATTATAATATAATGATAACAAATAAATAAAAATGTCTTGAAATCCTAAAATGATTTTCATTTGTTTTAGTTCAAACTTATCCTGACACCGTTCCAGTGAAATTAGTCACAGATACACGATTTGACATCAAAGCCAAGAAATTTGGATCAGAAATTTATACTTCTGATAAATCTTCATGTACGGAGCAGAAAACAAGAAGCATTTTTAGTATTCTGACAAGAATTATAAACTATAATGAAAGCAGTTTTGATAAAACTGAAAATAATGAGTTAATGAAAACCTCATTAGATTTTGATCTTTCTTCTGCAGTTGTATATAATAAAAACAAGAATAATTTTATTTCTAAAGATCCTATTGATTTAATAGCTCGTGTAATACCTTTAGAAAGTTTCTATTCAGATTGCAAGACACATTCCAAAATATTAGATAAAATGAAGAATTTAGTTCATTCATCGATATTATATATTGGTTCGTCTGTTATCAATGTTGAATTGGACTGTTTTGTAGCCAATATAAGAAAATGTTTGTCACCTACAGAAAATGATGATGAAAAAATGAATAATAGTTCATTTCAAAAAGATAAAAAGAAAAAGAATGATGATGATTTTAAGTTTAATTCAACTATAGTTCAAGTTATTACATTTAATGATTATGAAATTTCATGCAACAGATGCTTTAAAAAAGAACTGAATACAATTTTGCAAACAAATTATATTGTTGTCCCAAATTCATTAAGAAAAGCATTAGGATTGGAAATTTCAAGTAAAATTCATCTTCAGAGTATAAATTGGGAGCCTTCATTACCAGAAGAAATTAATTTTGTTTCTGTTTCAAATTCAGTGAGTTTGGTGAGTATCAAGTTATTTTGTAATTTATTAGTATTATAGCCATTATCTAGCCCGATGACATATGGCATTAGTTGGTGTTTAGTAATGTATCGGATTTTAGTGGAGTTTTGTTTAGTGAGTTTATTTATTATTTTGAAAAATAAACGTTAGAACTATTAAATATTCATAAATTAACACGTTTCTTATATAAAGTATGAGCCCAAACAATAAAACCTAATCCACCAATAGCAACCATAGCATAAACCATACCCAAAGAACCGAAAGGCTCCCTCTTCCCCATATGATGACTAACAATATGCGAAATCATTCCAAATCCCGGCAAAATCAAAATATAAACCTTATCCAATACATTAAAACCTGAGTAATAAGTCTACTTACAGAATTTCAAGTGCAGAGAATCACACCTAAATGCAAAATTTCCAGCAAAGAAACACCCAAATTCAGTATTCAAATGTTTTCGGCCACTACTTTATCAGCTCTCTTCAGGAAATGTAAAACGAAATAACTGTTCTATATATAGAATTTAGCTGTGTTCTAATTTTCAAAAGTTTCAAATCAGTTTGAACAAGTTGTGATGTATCTTATACAAAACTTACTGGAAATTTTGTGTTTAGGTGTGATTCTCTGCATGTATAATTCCGGTTTACTTGTACAGTTGTTGTTTTTAGAATTTTGAATTTGAACAATATCAGTAAAAGTTTTAAAAGTTATCATCAAGAGTTTCTTATAATTAAGAGTACATGTTTTAAATTATATGAAAGTTTTGAAATTTTTAAAAATTGTGTAATGTGTTATACTGAAAAGTTATAAGAACTTATGATAATGTGTCCAGAGGGTTGGCACCTCTTTAGTGTCTCGTCAGGACTGACACCACTGTGTCTTCAGGTGAGACACAGAAACCTTTACAGCCGCAACTTCAGAATTTGTGCAAGTGGTCACGTGCGCAGACTATTGGATTTAGGATGGAGGAGGATTGAAAGATGGATCGGAAGTGAATCACTCGGATACAAGGTTAACAACTAAAATAACTGATTTAATTCAACAAAAAATGAATACATAGCTATATGCTGTTGAATAACGGTTGAGAGAGAGAGAGAGTTTGCAAGAAACCGCAAGTTGGTATATATACATTTGATGCACTTAATTGTGCGATTCCAGATTGCTGACTTTTCAGTCGTTTGTTGATTGTTCATTGGTTCAGTTGGTTGGTCATTCAGTCAGTTGGAGAAGTTGGGAAGGACTTAATTTTTCTTTTCCTTGGACAGTGGTCAAACCAAGGGAAAACTGAAGGGTATAATAATCCAGGGAGTTTGAAGGTGTCAAAATACACAGAGTATGAAATCCTTGATACGATACCTCTTGTTTTTCAGGAAACTTGATTGATGCTCTTGTGAACTCTCGATGACCCCTTGTTCTTGAGTCACTCCTTTTATACCTCCAAATCACATTATCCTTTTTCACCAATCGGGAATTTTTGCTCTTAGTTCCCAGTGACACATTTGACGAGTTCCCTGGGAAAGGAAACAACTTCAGAGAAGAGATGCGATCATTCTCCGGTAATAAAATCAAAAAAAATTGTTTTTTGAACCCATTTATTTTGAAAGACAAAAACAAATTTTCTCTCAAAATTTGTCAGGTCCAGTCTCTCACAATAATCCTAATAAAAATTGAAAAACTGGAAAACATGGAAAGTAGAGAAGCAAATATTTTTATTAGTCAAGCTAATTTAAAGGCAAATTTTAATCAGAATTTTTTTTATAAGTACAAAATGGCAATTTATTTACATGTATGAATTTTCGATTTTGCTTTTAGTCAGGTGCTGTAAAAATCAACTTAAAAATATCCATGGTAAAATAACATAAATGAAATAACATGTGTTTTATTTTTAATTACTGGGAAATTAAGTCAAATTTTATTCAGTCAGTAGTTACTTATTTGATGGAATGCAGTTTAAGTTAGAATGAATACTACATAGAAAGTAATAATGATTCTCTATAAAAAATAAAATGTGCACAATGTTATGTTAAACTCAATATATAAAAATAAATTATGTGAACAAGTGTGTTAGCTAAAAGATTTAAATAGCAGAAAAATGTGGAATTCTGTCCAATGTAATAATCATCATCAAATTTTTATAAATGTTAATGATTGATGGTATATTTTGAAAATTATTAAAAATATATGTATAAAAAAAGTGAAATGATAATTTTTCATTCCATTAATTTTAAAATATTGATTGTGTATTGCAATTTAAATAATTTATTGTATAAGTATGTAATTTACAATCACAAATATATAATTTTTTAAAAATACTAAATATGAATTGTAATTAATATAAAAATTTGTATTTAAAGTCAGGTGATTTTGAGAAATATAAAAATCAGTGGTGTGAAAACATGCGCAAATTGAGTCAACCATTTGTGTTTTGCAATAATACTTTCATCAGTCTTCCAACAGAAACTGGTAAGTGTATAAGTAAGTTAAAATTGACTATTCAAAGTATTAATTATATTGTATATATTGATTTACAATCATAACAATGGTTTTAGTTTCCTAGTTACAATAATTTTATGAAATGTGCAATTGAAAACTTAGAAAAGTGTAATCAAGTAGATCTGATTTATCTAGAAGAAAATATTACAATTTACATTTAGGAGGAAGATTTCTTATTACTAAATGTGAATTGCTTCCTGGTATTTTCTTCTAGATAAATCAGATTAAGAAGTTGTCTTCCTAAATGTAAATTGATAGTTGGGCAAACTAATATATATAACTATTTATTGAACAATTCTGATCATAAAATGTATATGATAGTTTTATTTTAAATTAATAAATTATATAGCTCATACAATTAAAACGACTATAACTGTTTTTTTTTTTATAAGTACAGGGTGTCAAAAATGATACTGTGCAGTGAGAAATTTGTGATTTAAACTTATACATAAGATTTTTATTAGAAATTTTTAATAAATTTTAAATAATACATTTTTATTAAAATTTTGCTTAAATTTTTTCCATTGTGTAGTAAATTTTTGGACACTACAGTGTCCAAAAATTTATATATATTTATATTTTCTGTTTCTTATTAGAAAATTCAATATTTAATATTAATATTGTTAAAAATTGTTTAATCATATGTTTTTAAAAATTTTTTCAATGTCTTATTTGTTTGAAGATAAATAGAAATTGGAAAATATAAACTATAAATATAAAGATAATTTAAAAAATAAATTTATAATTTTTATCATCAGGTATTGATGCTGATTTTATTATAAAAGCATCATTTAAAAATTCTTCAGAAGTAAATGGTCAACAGCCATATGGTGTCATTGATCCATATATGTTATCAAAAATTACTTTAGCTAATGAAATTATGCAGCCAATTAAAATAAATGGAATAAAATTGCCTTGCCAAAACTTAAAAATTATTGATCAAGATTTTGCTGATACCGATTTCATCAAACTTGGGTAAGTTGTTAATGTATTTCATGAAGTTTTTGATAGTTTGGAAATTTTAAAATTGTTTCTATACATTTAATTATTTACTATATTGCAGATTATAATATACAAAATATTTTGTTTTTTAGTGGAATAAATACATTATCAACTAAAGGAGCATCATTTCTTGAACTTTGGTTGAATCTCTCACCTTTAGCTGACTCAATTCTACCCAAATATTTCTCTACTCCAGTATTATTGATATGTGGTCCAAGAGGTACAGGAAAAAGTTCATTAGCTCAAAACTTAATTCAGAAGATATCAAAATCACCATATTATGTTTATCATCATATAATATCATGTAGAAAACTACAAGGTACTATATATTTTTTTAGTTATATTTCTGAATTGTGTTTTATAAAGCAGGTTTTTCAACAATACTCTGTAACCTTTAAGGATTTGCAAGCAATATTCCCGAATATTCTTAATAAAGAATATTTATTAGTTAAATATGTAATTTCAGTCAAAATGACATCAATTTTATAGCTATTTTACATGACATCTGATATGTATTTCATGCATAATTTCTATGACATAGAAAAATTACAAATGATTGAAACTAGTAATTTCCATCTGTATAAATACAATGCTAATCTTTGTAATCTGAATTTCATTGAATTCAAACTAATTTGGCTGCAATTTGAAAAAATTGTAGACCTATAAATTTCCACTGTTGCCCGTCCATCCGTCTGTCTTTCCTTAATCTCAAGAACGGTGTTAGATATATAAAAGACAAGACTAGATATGGAAATCTTAGGGGCAGTAGGCCACAATTAACTATATACAAACTTCTGATGCAAACCAAGAGCCATCTTATTTCAATTCAAAAATTTTTCTGTGAAAGGTATTAGATGACTGGCACAACTCTAATCTTGAAGGAAAAGTATAATGTACTGTACATCGGCAAGCCACTACTAATTTGAGGTGGAGAGCATATATTTTAAATTAAATAATTTTAAAATATGATTAAAAATTGCAATCCAGCATTGCGACGATGTCACAATTTCTTGTTTTATTTATTTATTCTGTTATATATTCCTAACTAAAAACAGAAAGCATAGTTTATTTTTAAAATACATGACAAATATGTAAAATTAATATATACTATATATGTATTTAATACATATATACTTTGGTATTTTTGAAACCGTGTCAGTAATTTATTTCAATTCAAACACAAATTATTTATCGTAATCATACAGACACTTGGCAAATCACAGAATTAAATTTTATTTAGTTGATACGTGTTTCTTTCTTACACTAGGGAGGAAAAAAGGGGGAAGAAAGGTCAGCGAAATACGAAAGACTAGTATGTAAATTTTAATTGTTAAATCAATTTAAACGTGATTTTAAGTGTATGGCAGAAATTTTAAAATTGCTTAAACTCATCAAAAAGTATTTAAGTATTATCATAAAGGTTTTAAGTGTATGGAAGAAATTTTAAAATTGTTTAAACTCATCAAAAAAGGTATGTTTTTAAAATAACATAACCTTATATGTTCGTTTGTTTATAATGTTGTAACTTGTGAACTTTTATTTTAGTTGGTTGAAGAGGGACAAGAAATGCCCGAAACGTGTAAGAAAGAAACACGTATCAACTAAATAAAATTTAATTCTGTGATTTGCCAAGTGTCTGTATGAATACGATAAATAATTTGTGTTTGAATTAAAATCAACTAAATAAAATTTAATTCTGTGATTTGCCAAGTGTCTGTATGAATACGATAAATAATTTGTGTTTGAAGTAAAACATATACAGTGTACTTGTAATACATATTAGTGCACATTTAATTTAGTATAAAAAATTTTTGGACATATATTTGTCTGTACTTCTTTTTGACTTGCATTTTTATTTATATAATCTTTGCTAATCCTAATTTTTCACCAATCCTAACAATTATGTGCAATAATTTGTTCATGTTAGCAAGGATGTACTGCTGTTGTCTGAAGAGCAGCTTCTGTTGTTATATGTTGTTGATTAGAAAGTTGTAAGTCAGCACTAATATTTACATACAGAAATTACAACATTAAATAATACTTTTTTCTGATAATTTTATTTGTGTGAAAATATGTGCTAATTTCTTTATTCACTGAATTTGAATATCAAATTTGTAACTAAAGCTAATTATTTTCTTTCAAATAATCTTGTGTCATAAGACTCAAAGTCCTAAATATGAGTTAATTCAGGTGTCTTCCTTTTATTAAAATTCAGTAACCAGAATTTTTCATAGCTTTGTTACTTACTTTTTATTATTGTTAAACATTTGTCCAGTTTTCTTACTATTGTTTTTGTTTAGATTTTTCTTATTGTTATATATCTATTATATTTACAACTATATACTTTTATAATATTTATTTATATACATACATATATATTTTGGTCTATTCTTGTTTCATGGTGCATGATGAAAGGGCCATTGTAGCCTTGTATCAATAAAAGTTAACTAACTAATTAATTAATAGTAACAGGATTCATTGTACCATATTTTTATGGATTGACCAGCATGCCAGTTTATCCAGGGAAACTATGAAATCAGATATTTCTGTATGGTTAAAACCAGCATGCATGTTTACCCCAGAGAATGTTGGCATGCTGGTTTAAGTGAAGTTATACATGCACATGAAAAAATGAATGAGTTAGGTCACAGATGTGAGTTTTTATTATAAAATAGTGAAATTATCAGCATCATAACAAAAGAAAACTATAATTTTATGTTAAGTTTTGAATTTTGTCTTCTTTCTAATGTAAAATATTCATGGAATGCCAAAAGTAATATCTTTATGTTTGTTTTATTGTAATTTGATCCAAAAATGCAAAAAAATAAACAAATTAAATTTCAGAAACTCACTGAATTATCTCAAGTTTTATGGATTTACATCAGATCAAATATAATAAAGGCAGATTGATAGGTTGTTTTCAAGGTCTTGATATTAAAATTTTATTATGTTTGCAGCAGATTGTCAGTGTAGCCTACTGCTAATAAATTTATTACAGTAAAGCATCGATTATCTAACTCAATTGAGGACTGAGGTTGGTTGGATAACTGAAAAAAACAGATAACCAAAAAATATGAAAAAATACATTATTAGTATAGTATATTAGTATATTGCTATTAACCTACTTCGCATTGAATTTTCATCAATGTTAAGCCTAACAAAAATTATTTTTAAATAATAATTGTTGCTATTGTATCGTTAAAAATTAGAAAATTAAGCCTCGTTTAAATACTGGCTCCCTTTCATGGTTGAGCCAGTGTTGCCAGCTAAAACATGCAAAAACAATATTAAAGTAGCTGCTTTGTACACAATAAAAGCAGCAACAAAATTTTAAAGCATGGTTTCATATCGTTAAAATATTAAAGTAGCCAAGACATAGCCAAATATTGTAGCACCACATCACTAGCGGACATTTGAATTTGCCAACTAGAACACGGTCCCGATCAACTGTCACATCGGTCAGTTAACCAATGTGATGGTTGATCGGGGGTCGGATAATCAATGCTCTACTGAACTTAAATTTCTTAGAATTATAAGAGTATTTTTGAGATATGTTTAATGTTTTATTTTTCAAAGTTTTAAGTGAAAGAAATTTAAATTCAAAATCTATTGCTGTAGTAGATATGACTTTTTATTTTAATAAATTTTTATTCAAGTCCAATTAAACTTTGACAAATACTGTATATATAAAAATATAAATTTCAGTTAATTTCTTCAAAATTTTAAAATTGTAGGTAAAAGAGCTGAAGTAATTTGGAAAAGCTGGAGGAAGGAATGTAATGAAATAATTCATCGGCAACCTTCAATACTGCTAATTGATGACTTTGATATAATTGCACCTGCACCATTAAATCCCGAACAAGAAAGATCTACAGATGGATTACACTATCATAAAATAGTTAATAGTAAGTTTTAAAATTTATAATCTAGTTCTAAGATCCAGATAATTTTTTTCTATTCCTTTTTCAAATTTTAATTTCTTTAAGTAACTATGTTAATTTATAAAGATCATAATTTGAGTGTTATTTGTTTTTTATTAATAAAATTAGATATTTAGTTATTAGTGAATATACAAATATTTAATTTCTTAGTTTTTATTTTAATCATACATTTGACGACAATTACCTGTGAATAATCTTATAAAAAATTTGATAGAAATGATTTTCTAAATAAATAAGGCTACTTTAATTTTTATCATATTCCAGTTTAATAAAGTAAATTATCTTGATGTCATCAATATGATACTTGATGACTTTTCTGTAATAAGTGACAGGTGATTTTAAATTAATAACTTGAGAGAGTAATACTGTATATACCAAATCTGGGAAAAAAAAATCTCAAGTCAGCTAAAATGTTAAAAAAGTAAATATTGATCAGTCAGTTTAAAAAATTCATTATAAGATGGTCTGTTGTACTCATTGATATGTTATGAGATTATTAGGTATGTTATTGATCTAGAGATTGGTTAGGAAAGATTGAATTTTTTACAAAATTTAAGAAAATTTATTAAAGTAGACAGTACATAAGTATCTTCTCACATTGTCCCTTTGCATGTAATGAGGAAATTAACAGTTCTACGGTGGAGTCAACCTTTCATTTGAAGCTACTCATTCGCCTCAATATGTAAAATGTTAAAAACATCCCTCTGGCAATGGCACAGTTAAAAAATAATAAATACATTTGAAAAAAATTTACCAATTGAATTATTTGTTTATCTCTGATTCTGTAAAAGTAGATTTATTTTTACGTAAATAGATACTTTAAATTCAATATTAAATTTTATTTGCAAAATAATTTATATAGCAAGAATTTTCAAATATTCTCACTTATATTAGACATTTTATTTGTTTTAAATTAATAGTTGCATTTCTTTTAAAAAAATATGTATAAATATTTTAATATATTTTAATTTTTTATTTTTATAGCATTTTTAAATTTGATTGAACTTATTAGATTTTCTGAATCTAAAATATGTATTATTGTTACTGCTAAGTCTCCTCAATCACTTCATCCTCTGTTAACTTCTACAAGAGGAAATCATATTTTTCAGCTTACTTTAGAAATTAATACTCCAAATAAAGTAAGAATTGTTATTTATTAAAATAATATATAATTAAATAAAACATTTTTTATGATAAAATAATTATTTTAAATATAATTATA